CCCCCACTGGATGCCACTTGAGATGCCAGGGATTGAACCTTTCTACGCGCCAAGCAGATGCTCTGCCACTGAGCCAGAGCCCCTCCCCAAAGTCTTGCCGCTTAAAGACCAGTCGATCCATTGTGGCTTCCAAGGCCAAAATCATGCCTCGTCATTAGGGTTGGGTTGCCAATCTCCCGGCTGAATCGCAAGAGTTTTACTGCAGCTGGTCTCTGGCCTGATCCAGCATTGGCTCCTCTTATGTTCTCCTATGTTCTTATGAAAGTGAGCGGCTCCACCGGCCACTGAGAATCCTGTTCCTGGCCAGCATTGAGCCAGGCATGCCCAGATGTTACCAGGCGTCATCCATTTTCTTTCAAGTGTATCTAGGACCAGCAGTTTGTGGATCTCGATATGAAGGGAAGAACGTTGGGATTGGCAGGAAACTCAACGCCATGGCTGCTGCCACAGGCTCTGGAATGGCAGCAGACCCTCACCCCCTGCTAACCGCCTGCCCCCCAATTCCCTGTGCCAGTCCCACGAGTCATGGGGCACAAGCCTAGAGGAGCTCACGCCGGCTGAGACCAGCTGCAGTAAAACTCTTGCGATTCAGCCGGGAGGTTGGCAACCCAACCCTAATGACGAGGCAGGATCTTGGCCATGGAAGCCACAATGGATCGACTGGTCTTGTGGGGAGGGGAAGGGAAAGGAGTTTGTAAGCCGCTCTGAGACTCCTTTGGGTAGTGAAGGGTGGGGTATAAATCCAATCTCCCCCTCTTCTTCTTTTACCTCACAGGGTGTCTGTTGTGGGGAGGGGAAGGGAAAGGAGTTTGTAAGATGCTCTGAGACTCCTTTGGGTAGTGAAGGGTGGGGTATAAATCCAATCTCCCCCTCTTCTTCTTTTACCTCACAGGGTGTCTGTTGTGGGGAGGGGAAGGGAAAGGAGTTTGTAAGATGCTCTGAGACTCCTTTGGGCAGCAGCCATGGCGTTGAGTTTCCTGCCAATCCCAACGTTCTTCCCTTCATATCGAGATCCACAAACTGCTGGTCCTAGATACACTTGAAAGAAAATGGATGACGCCTGGTAACATCTGGGCATGCCTGGCTCAATGCTGGCCAGGAACAGGATTCACAGTGGCCGGTAGAGCCGCTCACTTTCATAAGAACATAGGAGAACATAAGAGGAGCCAATGCTGGATCAGGCCAGAGACCAGCTGCAGTAAAACTCTTGCGATTCAGCCGGGAGATTGGCAACCCAACCCTAATGACGAGGCATGATTTTGGCCTTGGAAGCCACAATGGATCGACTGGTCTTTAAGCGGCAAGACTTTGGGGAGGGGCTCTGGCTCAGTGGCAGAGCATCTGCTTGGCGCGTAGAAAGGTTCAATCCCTGGCATCTCAAGTGGCATCCAGTGGGGGTCCGAAGCTCCGTGTCCAGGAGCTGTGCATGGGCAGCGCGATGATGTCACCTGGAGGTACCATATGGTACCATAGAGTTTTAAAGCCGAAGGCTAAAGTGTCTCCTGACAGCATGCTTGGAGTGATGACGTCACCTCCAGGTGACGTCATCGCTCCGGGCACATCGGCCCGATTCTGGCACTTCGGGGTTGGGGTTCCCCCCGGCAGCCGGATCCGGGCCAGCAGGTCGGGGGCCTCTAGAGCGGGCAACCCTCCCCCCCCCGGGTGTAATGTATTCAATAGCTGCCATTGAATGCATGATGTATGTGAAACATCTAATTGACTTGCCATGTTGAGCTTCGCCCTGGGCTAGGATCCAAACCCATCCAATCGCATTGCTAGCCCAGGAAGCACCTAGCCAATCACCTTACAGCAAGCTCCCTGAGCAGGAACGTCCATGATTGGTCCTTATATGAACAACCGTATTGGTTGGTATTTGTACAGTGGGTGTGGCTACATTAGCCGAGAGAGTTTAAAAGCAGGGGAACTGCAATGTAAAAGCTGAACTGTTCTGTTCTGGCTATCAGATGTTGATCCATGTTGGAGTTGTGTTCGAGTTGAAGAATAAAGCTGTATTCTTGCTGAATCACTCTCCAACTTCGTTGTTAAGCGAGCAACTTAACACCGGGGGCCTGGAATCCCTAGGTGGTCCTCTTCCATAAAGGACACGGGTTTCTCTCCAGGTCCTGCAGGTCTAGACCTTGGAGGTGGATCTGCACGATAAGGCCTTGCCGCATCGATGATGAGATGTTCTTTTCTCTCCCGCAGCTTTACATCCTGAGCCAGGGCCAGTGTATCTACAAGGGCGCCGTCCCCCACCTCATCCCCTACCTAAAAGGGGTGGGCTTGCATTGCCCCACCTACCATAACCCGGCTGATTTCAGTAAGTGATGACCGCTGGTTTTACACGGCTGGACAAGAAAATTAGGTACAGTCGCAGATGATGGAGGTCCACAGATGGCTTGTATCGCCACCTTGAACCAAGAGGAAAGGCAGGGTATAAATGTAAATGAAATAAATGTTAGCCCGGGTAGCTAAATGGAACCTCCAGGTACAGGAGCAGTGTACCAGGTGCTGGGCACAGGAAGAAGGGGGGGCTGCTTCTTTCCTGCCGTGGTTGATCCTGGAACAGGTGGCCTTTGGCTTGACCCTGCAGGGAAATATTCTTAACTGGAAGCCCCTGCCCTAGATACGGTTGACCCCTTTGCGTGGCAATAGAAATGCACAGCTCTGTTTTGAAAGCTGATGTAGCCCCTCGACAGCAGGGAGGTGATGCGGCCCAGGGCAGAGCCTCTGCTTGTCATGCAAAGGATCCCAGATTCAGTCCCTGGCATCTCCAGTTTAAAAAGCCCCAGGTAGTTTGTGATGTAAAAGGCCTCTACCTGGAGAACCACCGGCAGTCTTAGTGGACAGTACTGACCTTGATAGACCCAAGGGCCTGGTTCAGTAGAAGGCAGCTTCATAGCTTCATAACGGGCCAGGGTGCGAGACGCAGACGCCTTACCCAGGTTCAGATTCTCACATCTTCAGTGGCACAGGCTTCCTCAGGAGGTGTTGGCCAGTTTGGTGTAGTGGTTAGGAGCGCAGACTCTAATCTGGGAGAACCGGGTTTGATTCCCCACTCCTCCACTTGCACCTGCCTTGTGGCCTTGGGTCAGTCACAGTTCTCTCAGAGCTGTCCTCTCATGAGCAGTTCTCGAAAGAGCTCTCTCAGCCCCACCAACTTCACAGGGTGTCTGTTGTGGGGAGGGGGAGGGAAAGGAGATTGTAAGCCGCTCTGAGACTCCTTCAGATAGTGAAGGGTGGGGTATCAATCCAATCTCCTCCTCCTCCTTCTTTGGAGGTTTTTAAGCAGAGGCCATGTGGATTCTGTGACTTTAGGCAGATCATGAGAGAGAGGGGGCAGGAATGGAGGAGCCAGTGCTTAGCTCTCGTGGTCCTTTCTTACATGCCCAGGATAATTCCAATCACCACTTCGGGGTCCGGAAGGAAATTTCTTCCAAGCCAGATTGGATCCTGGTTTTTGCCTTCCTCTGGGCCTGGAGCAGGGGTCACTGAGGTAGTGGGGGGGGGGAGGTCGTTGTGAATTTCCTGCATTGTGCGGGGGGTTGGACTAGATGACCCTTGAGGTCCCTTCCAGCTCTCTGTTTCTAACCCCCGGTCTGCCTGCTTCTTTGCAGTTATTGAAGTGGCTTCCGGAGAGTACGGGGACCTCAACTCAGTGCTTTTCCAAGCCGTCCAGAATGGGCTGTGCACCATGGCCGAGAAGAAGGAGAGCCCCGACAAAGCGGACGCCGCTTGTCCCGGGCGATGCATGGCGGTGAGTGTGGCGGGGAGGGGTGGGAGGGGTGGCTTGTCTTCCCAGTTTGAGAATTCCAAATCTCATGCAAACAATCGATTTCTTTGCTCATCTTCAGGTGCGGCTACAGGGTAGGGTCGCCAGCCTCCAGGGGGGTGAGCTGCAGTGTTAGGAAAGTCAAGTAACAAATAAACATACACTGCGAGAAACTTTTGTAAATGAATGTCTTCTGTTTATAACTAACATTCTATAAAGTGCATTGTGTCTCCTTATAACATCCTAATCAGGTATATCTATTCAGTACATTCCGTATGACAATAGCACTCAGTTCATACAATATAACCACTACCAGTCAATTTAGTATCAGTATTTTAAAAGTCAAACCCCCCAATGGGAGTTTCCAGAATGACAAGCCCGCTTCTACTTGCATGGAGTCTTCCAGAAGAATGACAGGAGCGCTCCGTCCATGAATTCTAGCCGCACAGTGTGTCTTTTGTAGGACCGGCAATAAGCATCAAAAAGGTAAAGGTAAAGGTTCCCTTGCTCGAAAGCCAGTCGAATCCGACTCTAGGGTTGCGGTGCTCATCTCCGTTTCCAAGCCGAAGAGCCAGTGCTGTCCGAGACCCAGCGCTGGCTCTTCGGCTTGGAAACTGAGATGAGCACCGCCAGCCTAGAGTCGGACTTGACTGGCTTTCGAGCAAGGGAACCTTTACCTTTAATAGTATGTTATGTTTTAAAGATTCAATAAAAATATCGGGGTGCGGGGGGGGAGAGAAAGTGCCATCCAGTCCAGACGCGGCTGACTTATGGCCACCCGGTAGGATTGCCAAGACAGACAGAGGTGGCTTACCATCACCTGCCTCTGCGTAGCGACCCTGCACTTCCTGGGTGGGCACCCATCCAAATCCTAGCCAGAGCTGGCCCTGTTTCGCTTCAGCGGTCTGACGGGATCAGGCTAGCCTGGGAAATCCAGGTGAGGGTGAATCACTGTTAGACTCAGGGGCTATTTCCTGCAGGAGCACACAGGAGCGGAGCTCCGGCAGTAAGGAGCCCGGGGGGCGGGCACATGCAACAAGTCCCGCCCCCTGCTCCCAGCAGCGCTCAGTCGGGCCATGAGGAGCAAGAAGCAGCCAGGTAAGTTGCAGAGCCCCCCTCCCAGCCTGCCTTCAGGTACAAGCTCTCCCTCCTCTGTGAGGGCAGATCTGCACGTTCCTCCCCCCCCCCAATAGCTAGCAATCCAAAACAGTCCCGTGGAGCCTGAGCGGTGGGTGTTGCCTTCTGACACACTTCCGGTGATGTCAGGGGGTGTGGTATATGCAAATAAGTTATGCGAATGAGTTATGCTAATGAGCTCCTGCACCTCTTTTTCTACGACATGACAACTGGTTAGACTAATGAAGTCACCGTTTTGCTCACGCTCCCCTCAGGATCTGGACCACATTGAGAGCCATACTTTCGCAACCAGCACCATGACCCAGTTCTGCATCCTCTTCAAGAGGACGTTCCTGTCCATTTTGCGAGACACGGTAAGTGCTGGAGACGGGAGGGGGGTGTAGGAGATGTTCTGGAGCCCATGCATGTAAGTGTTGGGAGAGAGGGCGGAGCTAGATCCTAAAAAGAGTTGTCAGGGCCAGTGTTCCCTCTAAGCTGAGTTAGGCTGAGCTAGCTCACAGTTTTTTCAGCCTCCGGCTCACACGTTTTTGTCTTCGCTCCGGAAGGATGGCTCCAGAGCAGACTCATTGATGCAGGAGCCAAATCGCTCGCTCACAGCTTTAATGCCAGTTGCTCACAAAGCAGAATTTTTGCTCACGGGAGTCCACAGCTTAGAGGGAGCGTGGGTCAGAGTTCAAGTTTTTCTATGAAAATCCCGAGTATGGGAACTGGTTGCCGTAAGGGAAAGGCCCTCTGTTCATGCACAGGATCTCTTTGTTGGCACATGCGTTCCGGAATCAGGGCTCGGGGTAGATCAGAGGAAAATGGAGCTTCCTTTCTGAGGGGGCTACAGCAGGAAAAGAAAACGGGGGCTGCAACATTCAGTCCGTTATTAGTTAGGTTAATTTATAAAGAGCCTGTCGATTGACTGACAAGGTGCCCCATATGAATATCTCTGCTGGATCAGACCAAAGAAGTCCATCTCCTCCAGCAGTGGTGGAAAGTGTCATCAAGTTGCCAGTCTGGTGTAGTGGTTAAGTGCAGGCGGACTCTAATCTGGGAGAACAGGGTTTGATTCCCCACTCCTCCACTTGCAGCTGCTGGATGACCTTGGGCAAAGCCATAGTTCTGTCAGAGCTGTCCTTAAAAAAGAGCAGTTTCAGGAAAGAGCTATCTCAGTCCCACCGACCTCACAGGGTGTCTGTTGTGGGGAGGGAGAGGGAAAGGAATTTGTCAGCCGCTCTGAGACACCTTTGGGTAGTTAAGGGAGGGGTATAAATCCAATCTCCTCTCCTCCTCTCCTCTTATGGGGTTTTCAGAGCAAGAGATGCCCCGAGGTGGTCGGCCATTGCCTGCCTCGATGTCGCAACCAGTGCTCCCTCTAAGCTGTGGAATCTTGTGAGCAAAAGAATTCTGCTCTGTGAGCGACTCGCATTGAAGTTGTGAGCAAGCGATTTGGCTACTGTATAAATTAGTTTGCTCTGGAGCCCTCCTTCCTGAGCTAATCTGTGAGCTGGAGGCTAAAAAACTGTGCGCTAGCTCACAACAACTCAGCTTAGGGGGAACACTGGTCGCAACCCTCGACTTCCGTGGCTGTCTCCCATCCGAGTACTGACCAGAGCCAGCCCTGCTTACCTTCCGAGATCTAGTGAGATCGGGCTAACCTGGGCTATCCAAATCAGGTCCGGATTGGAGAGAACTGGGTTCAGATCCTGGTTCTGCCATGAAATTTGCCGGGTAAACTTGGTGCACTCCAGTGCTCCCTGTAAGCTGTGGAGTCTTGTGAGCAAAAATTCTCCTTTGTGAGCGACTGGCATAAAAGTTGTGAGCGAGCGATTGGGCTGCTGCATAAGTTAGTTTGCTCTGGAGCCCTCCTTCCTGAGCCAGGACAAAAATGTGTGAGCCGGAGGCTAAAAAACAGTGAGCTAGCTCACTGCGGTGGCTCAAGTGGTTAAGACGCTGAACTGCAGGCTGTGGAAGATCGGTAGTTCAGCAGTTCGAGACCCGAGTGTGCCACATGATGGAGTGAGCTCCCATCTCTAGTTCCAGCTCCTGCCAACCTAGCAGTTCGAAAGCAAGAAATTGCAAGTAGATAAATAGGGACCACTTCGGTGGGAAGGTAACAGCGTTCCGTGCGCCTTGGTGTTTAGTCATGCCGGCCACATGACCACGGAAACGTCTTCGGACAGTGCTGGCTCTTCGGCTTTGAAACGGAGACGAGCACCGCAACCTTAGAGTCGGATTCGACTGGCTTTCGAGCAAGGGAGACCTTTACCTTTTAGCTCACACTAACTCAGCTGAGAGAGAACACACGGTCCAGTCAGTCTCTCTCAGTCCAGTTTACCTCACAGGGTTCGTTGGGAGGATAAATCGGTGGCAGAGGAGAGCCGCCGAGGGACACGGCCCTGAGCTCCTTTGGGGAAGAGGAGGTTCGAAACGTACCCGAGAGATCGCATCCTGCAGTGGCCAGCCAGGGCCTGGGGGGCGTTCCCTGATCTTGCCTCGGAGGCAGTGAGCCTTCAGTTCAGGCCCTCCTTTGCCACAGACGTTTGGTGTAGTGGTTAAGTGTGACTCTATGGGGGCGTGACTCTAATCTGGGAGAACCGGGTTTGATTCCCCACTCCTCCACTTGCACCTGCTGGTGTGACCTTGGGTCAGTCGCCAGCTCTGGCACAGCTGTCCTTGAAAAAGAGCAGTTTGTGTCAGAGTTCTCTCAGCCCCACCCACCTCACAGGGTGTCTGTTGTGGGGAGGGGAAGGGAAAGGAGATTGTAAGCCGCTCTGAGACTCCAAGTGAAGGGCGGGGTATAAATCCAATCTCTTCTTCTTCTTCTTCTTCTTGCATGGCCTTGCTCAAGTCACTCGGCCTCAGCTGTAACGCTGGAATAGCAGTCAAGCCCCGTGCCGATTTCTCGAGGCGTGCCATCAGGGCTATTTTGGGGCAGGAACGCACAGGAACAGAGTTCCGGCTGGCTTCAGAGTTGGCCACGCCCACTATAGTCAAAACCTATGTGCACATGGCTACAGAGGGAAGGCCTGGAGAGTGACACACACACCCCGGAGACTCCAAGGGAGCCCTGGACGGATCGGGGAGGCATTTAAATGCCTTCCCCGGCCTGTCCAAGGGCCGGCTTGCCCAGGCGCTCCACAGCCGCAGGGTGCCCGGGCGAGCCAAGGGAAAGCATGGGGTGTGGCCTAATATGCAAATGAGTTTCTGCTGTTGGGTGTGGCCTATTATGCTAATGAGTTCCTGCTGGGCTTTTTCTACAAAAAGAGCCCTGCGTGCCATCCTGGGCGAGCCGGTGAGAGTTAAGTGCCCCGTCTTGCCTCACACAGGTGCTCACCCACCTGCGGTTCATGTCGCACATCTGCATCGGTGTGTTGATCGGCCTACTCTACCTGCACATCGGCAACGATGCCGCCAAGGTCTTCAACAACACGGGCTTCCTTTTCTTCTCCATGCTCTTCGTCATGTTCGCCGCCCTGATGCCCACCGTCCTCACTTGTAAGCACCCGAATCCAGTCCGGGGGCTGTTCTGGAGGGAAACGATGAGATGCTTCATGTGATTTGCTGTGGTATTTCCACACACACACACACACAAACGGATGCATGACGCTGGTGCTCCTAATTCCCCCAGAGGGGTGGCGGTCGGGGAACAAGCCCTCAAGTCGCAGCTGACTGATGGCAACCCTTCATGGGTTTTTCAGGGCAAGAGACGTTCAGAGGTAGTTTGCCATGGCCTGCCTCTGCGTAGCAACCCTGGACTTCCTTGGTGGTCTCCCATCCAAGTCCTAATCACGCCCGCCCCGCGTAGCTTCCAAGATCTAGTGAGATCAGGATAGCCTGGGCTATTCCAGTCCAGGCAAGAGACAAACGGAGGAGGTTGGCTATTGCCTGCCTCTGCGTAGCAACCCTGGACTTCC